AGTGTCAGTTTTAAAAAGGGAGAATTGTCTGTTGGACATCCAGAGTGATAGTCCTTTGCTGGCGGATACCCACTTTAGAGCATTTTGCCATAAGACACTCTGGTTCATTAAAATTAGGCCACAGGACACCGCGGCCCGGTTACAGCCGGTTGAGAAGAGAGAAAACTTCATTTTGAACATCCGGTGCCCCTGAACCACTCTTTGGGTCCGCCCCCAACCTGGTCTGGTTGGACCCATAAGAATCGGCCCTGACCCGACCATTAGGGTTAGGTCGCGCGTCGTCCCTAATCCCACACTCCATTCCTCGCCGCCCACTCGACTCTAGTGCTCATCGCATCGCCGTCCACCCCAGTGCCCGCCATTGCTGACACCTCCAGCCTCAACCGTCATCCGCCGCCATGTGGGGCTGAGGATCTGGAGCACCCCATGACCCAAAGATGAAGCCCCCTAGCATGAAGAACGCGCAGTGCCCTGGTTCTCCGCCTAGGGTTCCTCAATTGAAATGGATTCCAAAAGGGTGAGCTTTTTTGAACCCATACTATTTGGATTTGTATGCATGTGGATGCGTTAGAAAGGTTGCGGTTTAAAATTGTTTAGTTTGGTTCTTTTCCTTTGTTTTGATTTAGGATGGATCCAATGGCCGCGTGTAGGTTGGCGATTAGAGTACCTGCCTATGTAGAGTAAAGACCAGATGGGCTCGATGATTATCATGTAACTGCTAACTACATGCGTGTGGTGGACAAGGATCTCTTCAATTGGATGGGTTTTCATGAGTTGCTTTGTCAGGAGATAGTTCATGGTCAAGATCAAGAACTACAGGTTACTTTCTTTGACAAAACCAAGGATGAGAAAGTGCGCATAGATTCTGATTTTGCTCTGTTACATGCATTTGATGTGTATTGGGACTGTAGGAAGCTGCCACTAACTGTACAGGTTGTTGACATTGGTCCTCGTTTGTTACAGTCTCAGTTTTCTAGTGCCAATGCCTCTGTTGATAGTCAGTCTCTTATTAGCACACAACAGAGTCAGGTCAATTGTCTGCCACTAGCTATGATTTTGCCCGATGATATTCCAGTGCCTAATCCAGTAGATGATCATAATGCTAAAGATGTTCATATTCTAGTAACTAATCCAGTAGATGATCATAATGCTGAAGCTGTTCATACTCCAGAATGTGTTAGTAACCCTGATGTTCCTGCTGATATTGAGGTTGATAATCCTGATGTGGCTGCTAAATTCGATGTGGCTGCTAATCTTGATGGAGATAGTAATCCTGAGGTTGATGCTAATCCTGAAGGTGATGATAATAATGAGGATGATACTAATGCTGATGATGACTGGGGAGAGTCTGATGAAATTGAGTATGTAGGAGTAGATTATGAGAAAGACAAGTACAAGGATGTGCTAAATGATGATGGCGATGATTACTGTGATTACTATCCTGACACTAACCTAGAAGATGATGACCCACTAGTCATGGATGATGAGAGGGGTTATGAGGGTGTGGTGCATGTGACTGACATAGATAGCCCTAAGATACCTGTTGGTGTTACTTTTGAAGATGGTTTATGTTTTAAGAGGTGTATTAGGCAATATGCTGTGCTTAATGAAGTTGAACTTGCAGTTCCTTATAGTGAGTCACGGCGGTACAGAGCACATTATAAGGCTAAGAGGTGTAGGTGGAGGATTCATGCATCTCAGTGTCAAGATGGGAAGACATGGCAGGTATGTGTTGATTTTAGAGTTTGATTTAGTGTTTGATTCAGGTCTTAATGAAGTTGTATACTCACTGTTCACATTGTTTCCTTGTTTTACTTGTTCTACTAAGGGGTGTAGATTAAGAAGTTACCACACAAGCATAACTGTGGCAGCACAAGCAAAGTCCAAAAGAATTGTATGGCTACCAATCACTGGGTCAAGGACAGAGTTATAAACTGGCTCAGGGAGGATCCAACTCTTAGGGCAAAAGTTTTGAAGGAGAAGTACTGCATCCAGTTGAGCAGAGCTACTACGTTGTTTGGGCCGGCCGGCAAATGGCCTTAGATGAGATAATGGGTGGCTAGGAGGACAGCTTTATACATGTGTTTTCTTGGAAGAGCGAGATTGAGAAGAGGAGTCCTGGCAGTGTTGTAGAGATTGGGTGGGAGATTGTGGATAAGAAGAGAAGATTCAGTAGGATGTTTGTAGCACTGAAGCCATGCATTGATGGCTTCCTCTAAGGTTGTAGACCTTATCTAGGAATTGATTCCATAGTTTTGTTAGCAAAGTGAAAGGGGCAGTTAGCAGCTGCAGTAGGGATTGATGGCCACAACTGAATGTTCCTAGTGGCCTATGGAGTATTTGGCAGTGAGACCAATGAGAATTGGGAATGGTTCATGAAGATGCTGCACAAGGCTATTGGATCCCCACCTGGTCTTATTATTTCAACTGATGCTGGTATGTTTCCTTCATTGTTTGATAAATTGTTACATTTAGTGTTTCATCCCATGCAGCCTGACATTGTTTCCTTTGTTACTAACTACAGGTAAAGAAATAGACAAGGCTGTTACCAAAGTCTTCAGAAATGGTGTTGAGCACAGAGAATGTATGAGGCATCTTGTCAAGAATTTCTAGATGAGATTTAGGGGAGATGTGTTTGAAAGGAACTTGTGGCCTACATCAAGGTGCTATAGATAGACAACCCATGATAGGCACTAGAATGAGATGCTCAAAGCATACCCAAAGGCAACAACATGGCTGTTGGAAAATCACAAACAACTATGGGCAAGGTCCAAGTTTAGCACAACAAGCAAATGTGACTATGTCACCAACAACATAGTTGAGACCTTCAACTCATGGACAAGATAAGGCAGTTGATCATGGAGAGGTTTTGCACAAGGAGGCAGCTGGCCTCAAAGTTGTCTGGATTTAAGATTTTGCTTCATGTCATGAAGGAACTGCACAACAAGATCAAAAATCTGAAGTACACCATTCACAAGAGTGACCCAATGGTGGGAGAAGTAGGAGTGAATAAGGACCTAGTCCCATGGAGGTTCATTGTTGATCTGGACAAGAAAGAGTGCACTTGTAGAGGTTGGCAGTTAACTAGTCTGCCTTGTGTGCATACCATAGCTTTTATTGGCATAAGAAGAGTTGAATTGGAGGACTTTGTTGACCATTACTACTCTGTAGAAATGTTCAAAGCAGCTTATGCAACTGCTGTGCCTTCTATGCCAGGCAAGGAAGAATGTGAAAAGGTAAAAATTGGCTTCAAACTCCTTCCTCCTAAATGTAATAGAGCAGTAGGAAGGCCAAGAAAGAGAAGAATGGTTGGAGTTGAAGAGGGTTGGTCAACCAGTAAGGACAAGAGAAGGTGTAAAAGGTGTGGTGGACTTGGCCACCTCCAGAAAACCTACAATGAAACTATCATAGACCCTGACGCACCACCAAAGAAGAAGAAAATGACTTACAAGCCAAAAGTGGTTGAGATTATAGAAACCAGAGATGCTCCATCTAAGAAGAGGAAACTATGCAGTAAAAAGAAGAAGACAACTCCAGCTGAGCCTACACCTCCTGATCAAACTATGCAGTAAGTGATCCATCTCTTGTCACTATTTTTAGTTAGTTTAAAGGCATGACTAGTTTAAACATGGTAACCATATGTTTTATCTTGCAGGGTTCCAAACTCCCCAGTCACTAGGAGTCAGGCTACCTCAATGCTGACATCTAGTCCAAGCGCATGCACTAGGAGCAAGAGGGACCTGATGGATGTCTAGGCACTGCAAGCAACACAGGAAGAGAAGAAAGCTTTTGAATTATATGCTTTTGTGTGATTTTGTGTGCTTTTGAGCCACCTATGACATATGAACTTGGCAGAACTTGGTATTGTAATGTATTAAATATGGTATTGTAATCTGACATATGAACTTGATAGAACTTGGTAATATAGTGAACTTGGTAATGTATTCTTGTGAACTTTAAGGCTTGGTAATATATGAATTCAAGGTTGTTGTTACTTGTTGTATGTTGCTGACCTTATTCAAGTTGGTCATGCTGAAAATTTATTAACCTGGACAATGTCACATAACTGTATTTCTTTCATTTCACAAACATTACAAAGCTAAGTTCATGCTTGGTTATACAATGATATGCACATGGCAACAAAGCATACAACTCCTACAACACACTGGCCACATTCATCCACCTAAGAACTCTCTGCTCTCCAGCTATTCTACTCACATCAGCCCTCAGAGCTACTACAACATTGTTCAGGTTCAACACAGAATTCTCCAAAGCCTTCAAGCCGGCCATCATTGCTGCAACATCCATGCCATCTCCTGCGCTCACTGGCTTCCACATGAAGAAACTGCACTGCGCGTTGCCCTGATCACGCTGAAGAACACAACATTGGGATGAACCCTAGATCCGATTTGAAAATGTCAAAATAGACCAGCAAGAAATGCAAATAACTCACCCAGTCACGATTCCTGCAAGTGTAGAATTGCTTATCTGGGTTGTTTTGGGTTCTAGACGTCCGCTCTACAACCGTTGCCATCCTGCAGAAAGGGCACAGCGGCTTAGCCTCTCTCGCTCCAACGAACTTGTTGAGGATGAAATGCCCGAGCCTATCGCCATCTTCAACCGGCCTCTACTTAGCTTTTTCATGTCGACGATGCCAGCCCGCCGCCGCCGCTGCCTTTATCGTGGAGACGGGGAAGGAGAGTGAGACAGTTAACGGCCAAGTAACGGACGAGTTCTTAGTTGAGGGCGGGCCTAAGTATGGTTGAGGGGCATTGGATGTCTAAAATGAAATTTTTTCTCTCCTTAACTAGTTGAAACCGGACCGCCGTGTCTAGTGGTGTAATTTTAACGAACCAACAACGTCACTGACGATTCTCCCTTTTAAAAATGTGTTTAAAAAAAATGCTTGGAGGCAAGCCCAAAGGGGCCGGAACCCGGAAAGCTTGCAGCCGATGGCGCGGCATTGCGTTGAGCCTCGGAAGGATCCTTAGCCGGCGGCCATGGCGCCGGAGGTGGTGGTAGTTGAGGAGGGGAACCAGCAGCAGGAGGATGCGCCGCCGCGGCCGCGGCCGCCGCTCGCCGTGGAGGCGCTTCGGGACAAGATCGTCGAGAAGGTGAAGGCGAGCCGCGTCACGCTGATCGTGGGGGACACCGGATGCGGTAACTGCCGGGGTTTCCCTTCTCCCATTACCTTCTCGATCGGTTCTACTGTGTGTGTGCTCTGTGCTGTGATGAAGCCTTTTTACGCATTTGGGGTTTTGTTGAGGCCAGGAGATGGATTTTTTTTTCCTTACGATTTTACTTAGGTAAGTTTCATGGAATTTGTGTTGCTTTAGTCTTGTGCGATTTTCTTCTACTCGCTGTAATTTTAGGTCTGATTAGGGTTATCACTGGGGTTTTGGACGCGGTTTCTGTTGGATTGGGAAGGAACTCGAAGGGTTTTAGCATGACGAACTTTCATTCAGTTGTCTCCTCTGTGCTCTCCTTATTGCAAGGGTTTCAGGGGAAGTGTAAATTGCAAGGGGGAGGTTCTACCTTCTACCTTTTAGTGCGGAAATGGGAAATTCACCATTTGAGATTCGCATTTCAGATTCCCCGAATATGTCTTTGCCTTATGTACTTTTTGTGCGGAAATACACCCTATGGATTCACATTTCAGATTCCCGAATTTGTTGTTGCCTTACCGGATGCGCAGTGGAGCAAGATGCAATTTTCTTGAAATTCATTGGTTTTATTATATATTTAAAATTGCCACCCTATTCAGTTCTCTTTCCTTGCAGGGAAGAGTTATCTGGTTCCCCAGTTCCTCTTAGAGGAAAATATGGAACCTATCCTGTGCACACAGCCTAGAAGGTTCGCAGTGGTAGCCATTGCTCGTGCGATAGCTGAGTCTCGCAATTGGCAGCTTGGCGAGGAGGTTGGATATCATATAGGTCACTCAAATGTGTCGGATCTCAACTCTAAAAGGCACCTAACTCTGTTATGTGTTATCTAATGCCATTGTTTTAAGGGAAATTCGACTGCTCTCAGTTATCACACAATACTTAGCTTGTATATGCAGCTTTATTGAGTGGATTTATCCTTTTTTTGTGATCGTTCTGACTCGAGTAATTACTTGGAGTACCTTATTCTGCTGATGTGTCAGGGGCAAAAATGGTGTTCCAGAGTGCATTTTGCTTCTCTAGTTATCATCATGCTTGACAAATGCTTTCTTATCAGGCATGCATTAGCTTTGTCATAGTTTGTGCTCTGTTTGTTGGACCTGTGCACTTTGCTCCAAGACGCCATGCTGTTACACTGCTTTTAAAGTTCCATTAGGGAGCATACCCTGCACTTAAGCGTTTTGAATTAGTACCGGGTGCTTTGGTTGTGCATCATCCCGTAGGGATCGTCCCTCAAGTGTCTTTCATGAATGCAAACTTGATTGAAGTCTTGTGGCTATGATTACAATCATTCCATTTTACCCTCCTATCCTTGTCAAGTGTTAAAAATTGTTCCTTGCTAGAACCCTGATCCTGAGAACCTTACATTTTGGGCTCACCAATTCTATGCCCAAGACTCTCCGAGTCGATCCCTATCTGCAATTCTGCATACCTCTCCTTGATTCCTTCGATTAGTCTTTTTGCAGCTTCTAATAGTATTTTTCCAATACCACAAATGGAACCCTATGTTTCCAAAATACCACCGAGCTATGTCAAAGATAAGTTCTTGGTCACACATGTGTTGAAACACTGGGTGCTATTTCTACAATTTGCAATTTCAGCGTCTATTATCTATGATTATTCTTGACATATCATTTTGTCAATGTGGATTCCACGTACACATTCACTAGTTTTACACAACATTGAACACCGCTATTCCTAGCTTCGTTACTCTGAATCTCCAGTTATTTGCCTTATTATTCTCTTGGGTATTCAATTTACCTAAAGCTTACGGCCCATTTTTACCTACCTTTGATTCTGTCTTAAGTCCTGTTATGCTACATAATTTACTTTCTAAACTTATTTGACATGTGAATCAGGTCAAAAATTGTGTTCAAAACAGCCGGTGTAGTATTGGAGCAAATGTGTGATAGAGGAATTGCTGCATTGAGGTATAAGGTCATTATTCTTGATGAGGTACATGAAAGATCCGTGGAATCTGATCTTGTCCTTGCTAGTAGCAAGCAGTTTTTGATGAAAAAGAGTGACTTAGGTAAGCAATAGAGTAATGTCCACTAGTATGGTACACCATGTTTGTCTTTTAGCAGTAATTGTTCCCATCTTATCTTGTATAAATAAATAATTGTCTACCTGCTGTTGGTATGTCACCGTGTCACTCTTGGCAGGTTGGTTTTGATGTCTGCCACTGCTGACATTACTATTTATAAAGAATATTTTAGAGATCTAGGAAGAGGCGAAAGGGTTGAAGTGATTGCCATTCCCTGCAGTCCACGTACAAGCATTTTTCAGCGCAAAGTCTTATACCTGGAGCAGGTGAATATTTTGTTTAACTGCTTACTATATTTGTCCATCATATATTATTGAACTTACAATGAACCAATTTGCATGATGTGTCTTCAAATCTTTTATATGTCTGGTTGCACCACAGGATGTTGTTTGTTTGTGTATTTACAATTAATCATATTGCTGATCCAATGTAAAAGTAACCATTTCCACAAATTATATTGACCCACTAATTAAACATGTTCATTTATTCATGTTTGTGTAATTAATACCAGTTTCATTACTTTGACAACTTCATTAATGTTGCCACGGCACATTGGTTTCTGTTCCATCTCCCTGTTTGTGATTTTTAAATGGTACTATATATGCATCTCCTTAAGCTTTCTTGCAACAATGCTTTTCAGATTGCTGATATTCTCAAGATAAATTCCCAATCGCTTTCAACAAAATATTGCTCTGGTCTGGATGCTTCTGCTGATGCTGAAATAAACTATGATGTTTATGAACTTATCCACAAGTTATTGTTGCATATACACCAAAATGAACCAGACGTTAGCAAGAGTATTTTGGTTTTCCTCCCTACACACTATGCATTGGAGCAGCAATGGATCCGTCTATTTCCTTTTAGTTCAACCTTTAAGGTACATATTCTTCACCGGAGTATTGACACTGATGAAGCACTTCAGACTATGAAGATCTCAAAGTCTTGCCGAAAGGTACATACCCCTATATTTCTATCATACCATACGTTATTCTTTTTTCTTACCAATACTTGGTTCTATTTCTGGCTATGTGGTGCCAGTAGCGAGAAATAATGATAACAGTAATACATTGGATTATTTTATGGAATTTTTGTTTATGCTCCCTCCTCTTTTTATAAGGCACACACAGATATCAATATTCAAAATTAATGAACTTTGACAAAAAAATGCCCAAGAGTCTGTATATGGTGAGATATAAATTTAGAAGGGGCTCTTGCGTTTTTATCCTTGTTTTGTATCGAAATTGTGATTTTGCCCCTATTTTTTTTACTTTGTGAATTTACCCCTATGATTTCAAAACGAAGCACCAGTTTACCCTGCTCCGTCATCCACCCCTAACGGTGTTAAACTTTGTACAAAAGGACATGAATGCCCAAGCGATTTTGCCCCTGTTTGTTATGCCTAATTGTGATTTTACCCTGATTTGGAATTAGACTTTTTTATTGTAGGCTGACAATTGATTAAATTTGGTCAAACATATTTGGCACAACTTGCAATTATTTGAACTCAGATTTAATATTGATAAATATTCAAAATTTTGGCAGCACCTTTGCTATATTTTGCTAGCATCATGACAACAATATGAAGCACATATTAAACACATAAGAAAAATCATGGAGAACCACAACATTTCAAAGTCTACCATACAACATGTCAACATGTCCACAAAAGTTGTGAAAAAAAAACATGTCCACAAAAGCTACAGGTCTACACCATGTCACATGTCCACAAAAGCAACTGCACCATGTCACATGTCCACAAAAGCAACTGCACCATGTCACATGTCCACAAAAGCAACTGCACCATGTCAACATATCCACAAAAGAAACAAGTCTGCACCATGTAAACATGTGCACAAAAGCTACATCCATCTCATTCAAGGACCACCTAGAGACCTAACAAACTAGCTAGCCTTCCTCCTGTTCGCCCTCCTCTTCCCCTCCCTCTGAAAAGCATTGAACAGGTTGGTTAGTAATGATTACATCAACAAATAAGTACACCAATACAACTATAGAATGGTAAGTTACATTGGCTCACTGCTGCCCTCTCCTGATTCTCTTCCTCTGACCACTTTCAAGAATACATCAAGTGTTCCCTTGTACTGGAAGCAATAAGGAGGACAAACTGGCTCACTTCCTAATACGAGACCACGTGTGCATGAAGGAGAGCATCTGAATTCAGACAGGATCTAGAAACACTGAAAACACATCAGCAGCAATCCTCAAGTCTAATACACTAGTTTGAGGGTTAAAGCCGTGAGGATGGAATTGGACTGTTGACAACTGACACAGTACCGCCAACAACATTTTTAGAAATGAATTTTTGTTGTAACATAAAAGGCATTGCAGTTTTCCAATAAAAACAAGCGAGGTCATCAAAGACGATAGCTTTAACTAAGAAATCAGCACCATCTATATCAACTAAAAAATGGGTTGTCTACGTCCTAAAATTGGTTGCATGGCCAAAATCATCACAGACCTCATCCTAACAATCAGCACTACAGTTTAGTACCCCGGTGGTCTTATAGCAAGATAAATAACATAATCAGTATATCTACCAAAAAGTAACAAAATGCAGCCAAATCCCGCATTGTGCAATAACTGAACACCCCTGACGAACTAACCAAGTATCCAAACCTGCTTGTTGAACAAGCAATTGAAGGACATGAACTAAGAAGAGTCTACGCAATGCACCCGGTTCAGGTTGGTTGAGCAGCCCACTGATCACTAGCACAAACATAAACCAATCCATGTCATTCCTTACCCGCCTTCCTGGCCAAGCATGAAAATAACAAAAACCATGTCCTGAAATTTGCATGCCAAACAAGCAAAACGGCAATAGCTGGCAGATGAACATAGCTACAAACATTTGGATCACACCACTGACTTGGCCAATCCCACGGGGACCATGACAAAGAGCCCAAAGACTACACATAGACATCTATAAACACAAGCTCCATTTTGGATTCCTCACCGATCTAGTCACCCAAAATACAAATCCTACACGCAGCACTCGAAGCGAGATCAGCCACCGAAGTTAGCCATCACAAATTCAAACCACGCTTGCAGCAGCAGTAACGAAATGAATCGGCTTCCTCACCGCATCCGCCAAGCGCCGCCATCCGGGCAGGTGGTGGTACAAACACCCTGCCGCTGGGCTCGCAACCTCGCTTACATCGAGACACAGAAACGCGTTAGACGCCGGCGGATGCACACAAACACTCTCGGGGAGGAGAGTCCTGCGTGAGCGAGGGTGAGTGCCTTGGGGAACCGACCTTGGCGACATCTAGAGGGTTGACGATGATAGCCGAGACGGCGGCGCGGCGCCCGGCGGCGGAGAGCACGCGCTCGAACATCCCGAGCTCTGGTCCGCCCTCGCGGCCGAGAGCGGGACCCGAGAAGAGGGGGGACGGAGAGGACGAGCCTCGGTGCGAAGGCGTTCACGCCGCGAGAGAGGTCGACCACAAGGCGGCGGCGGCGGTCATCCATGTGGGGAGGAGCCCCGAGCAGCCCACCATAGCGCCGGATCGGCTCGGAAACCCTAGGCCACGCCGACTCCGCTCTCGATCGGGATTCGGGCGGCGTGGTGGCAATGCGGCCGCGATCGTGATCCGCCCATACGATGCCGCTCCGCCGCCCCTCGCTCCCGGCCGCTCAGCGTCCATCGCCGCCAGCGCCGCCGGCGGCGCGGCGCGAACACCGCCCGCCGCCGCCGCCTCGATGCCACGACGCCTTGCGCCCCAGCGTCCGGGCGCTCCGCGCCGCGCGTCGCCCGATGCCGCACTTTCGCTCCGTCTTCGATCTGCAAGATTGCGCCGCTTGAGCCGCCGCACCCACGCCAAGCGCTCCGCCGCCATGAACCAAGCGCCCGCTCCCTCCTCTCCGATGCGGATAAGGGGCAGTGTGGGCATTTGGACTTTTCTTTTCATGTTTAGAATTTTTTTAATTCATCTATTCAATGGGCATCTGACGGACATCCAAAGCAGGGGTAGACGGACAGTTCAGTTCAAAATAACAAGGACAAAAACATCATTAGCTAATCTCGCCACCTTGTATGAACACAAAGAGGAAGGCGGCACCGACTTAGCTGCTGTGTGTGTGAACACAAAGAAGGGAAGGCGGCGCCGACTTTGCCCCCTCGCTGCTGTGATATCATCAGAGCAGCTGCAGTCAGCGGCGCCAGCTCACGGCTCACCTTGCAAAAGATCAGAGAAACAGCGCAAGGGCGGCGCAGAGTCACCTGTCCAAAGTTATCTAGTTATCATGCCCGCATGGGCGCTGCACATGGACTAGATAGTTAGAGTTGTATAAATAGATATGTATGGTAACTCAGTAAAGAGAGCTCAGATTTGCCATCACACAGACAGGGCCTCGGCCAATGCTGTTGTCTTGTATTGTGCATGCTTGCTCTGTTCTCCCTTCTTCTTCTAGCTCGTCCATGGTGTGTGGGTACGGACAACGCCGGTACGTGGTCTGCACGGCTAGTGGGTGCTCGGCAACACTAGCGCGTGCTCGGCGAGACCGACAAGTGCTCCACTCGCCTGAGCCGGTGCTCGGCAAGATCGGCTGGAGTGGTTCACTGTCGTGAGCCGGTGATCCTGTGAGACCAACGGAGTGGTCTGGAGGCCATCTCGGTGGTCTGGAGGCTATCAGATAGTGGTTTGGAGGCCATCTCGGTGGTCTGGAGACTATCTGTAGTGGTCTGGAGGCCATCTCGATGGTCGGGAGGCTAACTGTGGGCCAACAAACACAAAGTTAAAAAAATAGGGGCAAAATCACAATTGGAGTACTGGACAAGGGCAAGAACACAATTTTCCCAATTTAGAAATTTATTCATATCTCCATTACTAAATATGATGTCGATTTTATGGTCATTGGCTTATATCACATAAAGAGATATTAATGGTGAAAGTGTATCATTGGAGACGAGACAATACTGGCTCAAATCACACCATACATTTTGAAATGGATGAAGTGTGGTTGTATCATTATTTTCTAATTGCAATAGCATGGTTGCTGAAATATCAAGCAGAAATACCTCTCTTTCCTGATCTCATTTATGCCTCAGTTACATGTCATTCCTGATTAGCTGTTGATGTTTCTTGTATATGTTAATTTATGCATCAGCATGATATGTGTTTCTTATCGCTGTATGAGTTATGGGGAATTACACTTCACCAAATATAAGATCATCAACAATTTCAAGGCTTCTTTTTTAGGAAAATACAGTAGGGAACATGCACACTCTATTCATCAAGACACCTTTTATGCCATTTGAATTGCCTATTCAATAAAGTAAGAACCCCAACTACCTTAGTTATTACAACTATTGAGAGGTATCATAGCCATTGTAACCTTAATCACCATGAGTGCAAATGGATTTATATTTGAGATGTGAAGGGCTGCCTTTTAAAAAGGGGAATTAGTTCTGTGACTGGACTACAAGGATACCCTGTAACACTTGAAGGGATGTAACGTAATTAGCTGTAACAAATAACAATACAGATGAACTTTGTTTGGGAGCGTTTTATATTTAGATTGTTGAAATGATCTGTTACCAATAAAGCACAATGGAAGTTTCTTTTTCCCTGCAGGTGATACTGGCTACAAACATTGCTGAATCATCAGTTACTATACCAGGAGTTGCATATGTTATTGATTCTTGTAGATCATTGCAAGTCTACTGGGACCCAATTAGGAAAACAGACGCAGCTGGGCTTGTTTGGATTTCCAAGTCTCGGGTAACTAAATCACAGATGTCCTAATCCTTTTCTTGTTCAAGTATACTTTTTAGCTTGAAACTTTTGTAACTATTCTTTAATCTTTTCCTAGGCTGAGCAGAGTAAAGGCAGGACAGGTCGAACCTGTGATGGTCAAATTTATAGTTTGGTAACTGGAACATTTTATAGCAGTTTAAATGATCATGAATATCCCGCCATTTTGAGATTATCCTTAAGGGAGCAAGTGCTCATGGTTTGTTGTGCAGAGCCCAGATTGATAAATGACCCTAGCGGTAATTCTTTTTCTCTGCAGCTCAACCACCCTTAATCCTTAATTCATGCTTGTTTTGTGATTTATTTATGTTATACTCTCGTTCATTGTTTTTAATTGGAAGCAATCTATGATTGTCCCTGGTGAGTTTGTCGCTGTCCTCTTTTTTTTTTGACACCTTCAAAGTGCAAACCTTGACACTTAAATTTCATAATTCTATATTTTTTTATCAAATTACACAAAAGATTTCACACAATGGAGGTACTTTTTATGAAGAATACATCGATACTATATTCATCACACAAGATATCACACAATGGAGGTACTTTTTTATGAAAAATACATCAATAGTATATTCATGTGATTAGTTCAAAAACTTATGTATATATTTGTGGTCAAGTTTTTTGCTACCTAGTTAGTTAGGTTAAGATAAACCTCTTACTATATTTTTTCTTCAGCACTTCTGCAGAGGGTTCTTAATCCACCAGATCCAGATGCTATTGAAGATGCACTAGAATCACTTGTTCAAATTCATGCGTTGGAGATTACAAATTCTGGACGCTATTTGCCATTGTCATTTGATTCTTCTGTTCTTGCCCTTAAATTTTGTGAGCTTGGCGCTGTCCATGAAGGAATTCTAATAAGCATCATGTTGGACATCCAGCCACTTCCTATCGTGCAACCTTTTGGCTATCAAGCACTGGTATGTGGTATGCTTTAGTTGGGTTATGGACCATCCTTCATCTCCAGCTCCAAGTGTTGTGGTAGTTATTCCCTGTTATCTGTTTTACAGCGCCAGAAGTACAGAGATAATTATTTCAAGGGAAATGGCAGTGTACAAATTGGCAAAAAGGAAGCTACTACCATGGGAAATCTTTGTGCATTTCAATTTTGGGAGCGTGTTTTTAAGGTATATCCTATGTGTACTAATCCCTGTGCATACATTGGACATTTGATAGTTTTGTTTTGCAACATTGATAATTTGAAGTCTTAAACCATGACATGCCAACATTATTAGAACAAGGTTTTTGCTTCAGTTTTAAAATGCCCTTGAACTTTTTATTGTCTGCAATTCGGGATTAAATTCACCTGTATTTCAGGACAAGCACCGTCTGGAATATCTAAAAGATGTGGCGAAAACTCGAGAACCAGAAGAATCACATACCTTCCTTACTAAACCTGAAGAGGAGTGGTGTGCAGTTCACAATCTCGTCCCTGCAGCGTTTAAGAACGTCTCTGAAATTTGTATGTCCTCTGCCTGTACTCTTGCGATTTATGAGAGTATACGTACTCCTAGTATGTTACCTTAGAGTAGTGGCTTAGTACCATTGTTTTTGTCATGCATTTTTCCAATATATATTGGAAAACTGTGCAGGAGATATTTGAAAAAGGTAGCCTTCTTGGTCTGTGTAGAAGTAGCTTGGGTTCAAACAAGGCTTACTTGGTGTTAGGATCTACTCGTAGAAGTGCAAGATATTTTCATACAATTTGAGTAACACTTGTCAGCAGCTAACTCGTTCTTTTGACTAGATGATGATGTTATGATGCAACTGCACCGTTTTAGGCCAAGTTTTCTTGTCAAAATCAATCCTCCAAAGTTTCTTCAGCCTTCTGAATTCAACCACACGTGTCTCTGTCATAAAATACTGGATCTAGAGGTGGATATGGATCCACTCTCGTTAGAGGCCGAGAATTCTCACAGCGATTCGCAGAAGCGATGTGCTGCAACTCCATATGTTTCGCCAACTGATTTTGGGACCAGTACCATTGTTGAATTGCTGAAGACACTTGTCAAGGAGGTGCGCTCTAGTCGATGAACTTAATGAGTATCTATGTTAAATGCAGTCCGATTAATTATCTGTGCTACCCATAATGATTCTTATTTGGTCCACAGATGAAAACACAACATGCTGAGGAGAAGACCCTTTCTTATAAGGGACAACTTGGTTCTCTTGTGTGATGGGATAAGTCTCATGTGTTGGCTGGTCTTTGTGGGGCTGTGCTGGTCACATGGTCCTTGTGGCTGCATGGTCTGTTTTTAGGACAGCATCTTAGACTAGAGGACAACATCTTAGAGAACAGCATCTTAACATCTAGGACAGCATCTTAGACTAGCATCTTGGCATATGCTTGGCTGGCTAGTAACCTATAAATATGTACTCCCAACCCCTCAGGTTAGCATGGCATTTGTGTGAGAAATAAACTAGAAAATTGCCCCAACTCCTAGTGTCATCCTCTCTCGATGAGAGTAAGAATTCTGCTACTACCAAGAGTAAGAATTCAACGACTAACAATGTGAAGCCAACCTTGGGAACTGAGGAATGTGTGTTTTTTGCTAATGGATCATGCAATCTTGGGGCTGCATGCCGCTTTTCTCATTCATCCCTTGCTCCTAAACCAGTATGCAAGTTCTATCTCACACTACAGGTATGGTTTTTCATATTTTATTTTATGTTATGTTATTGGTTGATCTTTCACATTTTGTTGGCTCATGTCTCCTTCATTCAAGTTTGTAGCCCAAGCTGTTAATTTAGGCTGTTTTCCTGTGCTTCTAGTAGCAAGAATTTTTATTCATAATATTTCTGTATGGCCAAATTCAATGCAATACAATGAATAAATTACAAATGATGCTGTTTCACCTTGCATAGATTTTGTATTTTCTGAAATGCATGGGTACTGAGTTACCCCTCACATCTCTCTGTTTTGGTCTCTGATGTTATGTTCTCTCGAATCAGGGTTGTCGAAGTGGTAACTCTTGTCCATACTCACATGATTTTGGCTCCTTGGTTTCTGCACCTGTCACATCTGGAGTATGCTCTCAAGAAGGCGGAGCCACCTCATTGTGCTGTACAAGGTTGCTTCCTGCTGATGGAGATGGGTATATTCTTGTCATGAATGATAAAACCCTGGAGTTCTCTAGTAAGCTTAGCCAGTTTTATGATGCCTGTAAGATTGTTGCTGGTACACCTGGTCTTCAGTCTGCTGCGTCTTATTCGGTTCCAAAGGGCCTCAAGATACTCGAAAAATTGGCTGATCCATCTAGTCTAATCACTGGGCTTGAGCATAAATTACCAGTTCCTTGGACACAACTTAAGCGAGTTTTTTGGTTCGCTGACTTCGATAATGATGAGTCAGACAGTGAGCAGGCTCTCTTGCATAAGTTCTTCGCGGATATTGCCATCAAGATTTTGTCAGAAAGGCTGTCTGACCTGCAGGTCATCTTGATCATGAAAAACACAAGATATATTCAGTTACAGGTAAGCCATACCTCAAGGCTCATTTCAAATTCAATATCCAACACTTGACATTGTGCTCAACTTTGAAATATCACTTGCGGCTGTTTTTTCAGGTGGAAAGATTGGCGAGAGAATGCTACTTTTTCCTCAGCGAATCGTTTATGTTTGATGAAGCAACTCTAGGATGGTTCTCAGATATCTCCAGGCACCCAAGAGGGATGCAAGTGGCAGCACCAGTCACCTACGTCTTCAACATGCATCCTCCCTCCACTACTCAGTTTGGGGATTATCCAGCGGAACTTCGGGAGGCTTTACGCAGGGATTAGTTAGGCCAGGTTATCCACGTGAATAGCTAGTGTCCTCTGAATTTCTTAGTAGTGAACCTTGTTCGTGGTATTGGCACTGAAGCCCTTTCTGTTTGCGACTTGTGATCTTGCTCACACTGTCACACGTTTTAAGTTAGACACTCGGGAGTATTGCATAACTCCATTCAGGTGGTGTCGACTGTCATCTCTAGGACTGGTTATTGGGCTACTGCTTAGCCCTGGGCAAAATTAACCTAGAATCGAAAACTGAACCGAAATACTCGGAATCAAAATCGAAAGAACTGGAACCGAAAAATTCAGTTCCTAATACTGAGGAACTGAAATAATGAAGAAAATTCGGTTCTTACTCTCGGGTAACCGAATTTACCGAAAGAACCGAATTATATTTGACCTACTATGTATTTGTGTTACTATATTACTTATTGTTTTCTTATAAATTATTATTATTAAAAATTAATATAGTGTTGCATAAATTTGTCTTACAACACGTATATTTACTGTTGTCTTGAGGTCTTCTTAAAAAATTCGTTTAGTTCGGTTAGAACCGGAACCGAATCGAAACCAAAATGGTTGGTTCCGAGAATTTTTGAGAACTGATTAGTTCCTATTTTCTGAGAACCGAATTTTGTAAAAAACCGAGAACCAAATGCCTAGGGGCTTACTACTGCTTGCAAATACATCATCATTTGTGGGCGTAAAATGCTTGACCTGGTAAGTTAGGAACGCTTGAGTGCTTTTGTTGACGGTGAAATTGTACGTTCACGATCTCATCTATAGCGTGCAGGCCAAAGCATGCTGATCTAGGCTCAAACGAAATTTACCACTTTGCCAAATTTCGGCGCCTATAACAATATGTGGCCTCTGGAGAAAATCAATGTTTTTTTGAGCAGTCGGGGAAATTCCCCACCTATTTTTTATTGATAAAAAGAAGTCTACATATGCACGAGAAATACATGAGAAGGAGCTTACAAAGCTCAAATGAAAACACCAAGACAGCTAGGCCAGACTCTCCTTCCAAATCCTGAGGGGATCTTCGATGCTCGGCTTGGCTTTGGTACAACCATTCCATGTTTTTGCTTGAAGAGCAGTTTCCAGTTATGAAAATTGCAAGGTTTGCTGTCGAAGATAAGCCCATTTCTCATGATCCAAATGGTCCAAGCATGCAGTGATAACAATTTCTCTAAATATGTTGCTGCCAAAATCTACTCTGGATTACCATAGCTAAGGGTTGAAGATTCAGATTCCATTGAATTGCTAAGTAGTACCAACATGAGGAGCTGAATGGGCATTCAAAGAATAAATGGAAGCTTGTTTCTTCAAGCTGCAAATGACACAACTGTAATCGTCCAGGGCTTTGTTCTTTCTCCAGAGCAAGTTCCTTGTGTTGAGCCTGTCTTTGAGTAGGTGCCAGAAGATGAATTGATGTTTCCCAAGGTTACCTGAAGACCAAAGCCAGGAGAAGAGAGGAGAAGCTTCCTGTGATCCCTGTAAAAGAGAGTAGGCTTTCCTGGAGCTAAAAGAGTAAGAATTCCAAGTAGTCCATTTGTCTTCAGTTTCTGGGTCCCAAGTTCTTTCCTGCAGGAGCTCAAGAAGGGACTCAAGCTCACTAGAAGCCTGAGCTGAAAGGGGCAAGGCAAAAGTTCTGGACAAAATCAATGTTCGTGTTGTGAAATACTTTAATGTGGAATAATGTAGTGATGCAGGTCAACAGATGCCTTCTCGGCTTCTCGACGTGCGCGGGGCTGCAAAAAACAATAAAGAAGCGTCTCACTGGCTGCCTCGGTTACAAAAGAAGACTGGGAATTCCTTAGCCGTTCTACTCTATACTTTATACAAGGGAAAAAATAAAGAGCCTTTTTTTTGAAAGGCAATAAACAGCTCTTTGTTTCTCTCTATTTATCTATTGTTTTATATTATGCCCTGTACATCGATAGAGCGATTTCTTAACAGTCCAGACATCTTTTGGAAGACTGATTTTCGTGAAACAGATTTCCGGTGTTGTACGCATGGCCTAAAATAGTTTGGCCAAACAAGCATTCTAGATATAATGTCTCACCCTCCACATACTAACAAGACTACATTTTGGAAAAAAAATCCGGCTTGCGAACTCCACCCCGGTTGCGGCGAGCTGGGCAACCTCCACCCCGCCCAAGAAGAACGTGGGCAGCCACGACGAGCATGCGGGCGGCCTCCACCCCGGCCAGCCGTCGCGAGTTCCGGAGCGTGCACTCTGCTTCGGTGATTATTTTTAGAAACTGCGATTACGGGCGAGGAACATTTGGGCCAGCGTTGTGGTCTCGTGGCCCACCAACGGAAGCATCCGGACGCTCTGTTCCAAGAATTACCGAAAAAATGTAAATAAATCTGCAATGTGATTATATAGAATGGAGGTAATACTCGACCTCTGCGACAGTAATAATATCATATCATCTATTTATAACTCCAATAATACTCCCTCTGACTAAATTATAAATTATTCTAAATATTTTTTTAGAGTCAAATCATCTCAAGTTCGACCAAATTATAAGTCAGTTTCAAATTATAAGCACACTGGAGCTGCTCTTTGGCACATGTGGTTCTGGATGGGCGCGACGGCCAAAAGTGAAAATCAAGGGGGCTCTGGAGGAGCCCAGGGATGAGGAGTTCAAGGAGGAATTTAATGGCCTACTATTTTTTGATGATTTGAGTAGAGGTTTTGTTGGAGTGAGTTTTTTATCCAACAACCCTTAAAATAATAGAATAGGGGCTGAATAGGTTCTATTGGAGTTGCTCAGCAAAACAAAATAATAAGAAATTGGCTGCATACCAAATGGTTGACCGAAATTGTCACACATTAAAACTTTGCGAGGGCTTGTTTGTTTTGATAGATTTAGAGTTGAATCCAACTTATTCTGAGTATATTATAATATATATTATGCCAAATCTGCTTCATTTTCCATTTCCCACTTATCATATCATCTATAAACCGGCCCGATCCATGCTAAAGCCCATAGCCCAAGCCACGATCGGCCCATTCTCCCACCACTAAACCCTAAACCCTTCCGTTAAAACCCCCTTTCTCCGTTGCCGCCACGCCGCCGCTCCCACCTTTACCCTCCGCCGCGAAAACCCTAGAACCTACCCACCCCCACGGCCCGCCGCCATGTCGTCCGCGACGCTGGCCGTCGCAGCACCCGCCTCTGAGCACTCCAAATCGAAGAAGAAGAAGCACAAATCGAAGGAAGACCCCGCCGCCGCTGCCGCCGCCGACCCGCCGTCGCTCGCTGAGGCCGAGGAGAAGACTGATGGCTACCTCATCAAGCCGCAGTCCCTTGTGCCGTCCCTCAACACCTCCACCTGGCCGCTCCTCCTCAAGAACTACGACCGCCTCAACGTCCGCACCGGCCACTACACCCCGCTCCCCTCCGGCCACTCGCCGCTCAAGCGCCCCCTCGCCGAGCATCTCCGTTACGGCGTCATCAACCTCGACAAGCCGTCGAACCCGTCCTCCCACGAGGTGGTCGCCTGGATCAAGCGCATCCTCCGCGCCGAGAAGACCGGTCACAGCGGCACGCTCGACCCCAAGGTCACCGGCAACCTCATCGTCTGCATCGACCGCGCCACGCGCCTCGTCAAGTCGCAGCAGGGCGCCGGCAAGGAGTACGTCTGCGTCGCCCGCTTCCACGCCGCCGTGCCGGACACCGCGCGGGTGGCCCGCGCGCTAGAGGCGCTCACCGGCGCGGTGTTCCAGCGCCCGCCGCTTATCTCTGCTGTCAAGCGCCAGCTCAGGGTGCGGACTATCTACGAGAGCAAGCTCCTGGAGCACGACCCCGAGCGCCACCTTGCCGTGTTCTGGATCTCCTGCGAGGCAGGTACCTATGTCCGGACTCTCTGTGTGCACCTTGGGCTGCTCCTTGGTGTTGGTGCGCATATGCAGGAGCTGCGCCGTGTCAGGTCGGGGATCCTCGGGGAGCAGGACAACATGGTGACCATGCACGATGTGATGGACGCGATGTGGTCGCTGGACAACTACAAGGATGAATCATACTTGAGGCGTGTCGTGATGCCACTAGAGGTACTGCTTACTAGCTACAAGAGGCTTGTTGTGAAGGACTCTGCTGTAAATGCTATCTGCTATGGTGCTAAGCTTATGATTCCCGGGTTGCTCCGATTTGAGAATGATATTGAGACCGGGGAGGAGGTGGTTCTCATGACGACAAAGGGTGAGGCTATCGCGATTGGTATTGCTGAGATGACTACTGCTGTGATGGCGACCTGTGACCATGGTGCAGTTACAAAGATCAAGAGGGTGGTGATGGACAGAGATACATACCCGAGGAAGTGGGGGCTTGGCCCGGTGGCACTCAAGAAGAAAAAACTGATTGCTGAGGGTCTCCTTGACAAGCATGGGAAGCCAAATGAGAAGACACCAGCTGAGTGGCTTCGGAATGTGGTGCTTCCCACTGGTGGTGATGTTTCAATTGCCAGCATTGCAGCTGCTCCTGAGCCAGAGAAGGTGAAGGTGGAGCAGGACACAGCTGTGACTGAGGAGGTCAAGGAGAAGAAAAAAAAGAGGCAGAAGGATGATGAGGACAATGATGCTGATGCTTCTGTTCCTGCGAAGAAGATGAAGGTTGAGGAAGTTGCTGAAGCAGTGGAAGGGGAGAAGAGTGAGAAGAAGAAGAAGAAGAAGAAGAAAGACAAGGGCGAATCTGGATCAGCTGAGGCTGAGGCTGTGGAAGTCAAGGATGAGGTTGATGCAGCTGATGAGAAGGGGACTGAGAAGAAAAAGAAGAAGAAGAAAAGCAAGGAAGGAAGTGATGCTGCAGCTCCGGAGAGTGCTCAGAATGGAGATGGCACAGATGCTGAGAAGAGTGAGAAGAAAAAAGAAGAAAAAGAAGAAGAACCGGGATACAGAGGAGTCACAATAGGTGTAGTTTATGTTGGCTGGCTACTACCTTCGTTTAGAGTTGCTGGGGAAGATTGAAATGCCTTTCTTGCTTGCCTTGTAGCTCTTGCAA